ATTTTTTAATGGGAGAAATCAAGATTTTTGTAAAATCTTCCAAAAACGAAAATTTAAGATTTGGAGGTCGAGTTGTTATTAGAATTCAACAAAATTGGTATGGTTGAACTCGTATCGGAATTGGTGTTCGGATTTCATAAAAATTATGTCGGGTTCCGAGGGGCGGGTCCCCCATTGACTTTTGTTGACTTTTTGGAATAAATTTTTAAGTCGACATATTATTATCCGGAATTATTTTCGACGAATTTTAATGGAGTTATACAATTAATTTGGATAGATTTGAGTTGTCCGGAGGTCAATTCAAGCAAGAAGGCTATTTTGGAATATCGGCCTAACTTCAAAAAGGTAAGTGTCTTGCTTAACCTCAAGTGGGAGAATTACCCCTTAGGCATTGAGTCTTATGCGCCATTTGTGAAATGTGAAAAGCCGTGTACGCGAGGTGACGAGTACATACTCGGGCTTATACGTGCAAAATTTATTGAATTAAAGTCTTAGGCATTATTGTGTAATAAATTAAAAAATTATGGAAAACTATTAAATCATTTGTTTGCCGTGTCTAAATCCTTATTGTTGAATTTGTTTTTATATGATAATTTGATGTGATTGTTACTTGAAATATTTATGAAATTTCGTGAGTATTGTTGGTTTAATATTTCTTGGAAATTAATTCCAATATGAATTTTCTTATGCAAATAATTAATTTAAGCGAACTTAAGAATAAGTATTAATATAATTATCTAAATTTGCATTAATAAAGGTTTTGCTTTATGCTGAGTAATTTCTATCTCTATTGATTGTCTTTGGGTGTTATATATATTGTGTGGAGCCTTGGGCTATTTGTTGTGAAATTAATTGATTTTTGTTATATCTTTGGAATTTGGTTGTGGCCATTGGGCAAATTGTAAAATGAATTGATTTTATTATGTTGCTGTGTTAATTTCTCGTATAAATTGTTGTGTTGTGTGAGTTGTTATTTTGAGGAGATAAGGGTGGCATTTCACCGTTGATATTATGTGGGTATAAGAGTGGCATTTCACTGCTGTTGTGGTTGTTAGAATATTGTCTGGGCGGAGCGATAAGGGTGGCTATAAGAGTGATAAGGGTGGCAATAGGAGCGATAAGGGTGGCTATTGATATTGTCTGGGTAGAACGATAAGGGTGGCTATAGGAGTGATAAGGGTGGCACTAGGAGCGATAAGGGTGGCTATTGTCAGGGACGATATGTGATGATGTGGGGTTGTGGTGTTGATAATTTTCATGTGATGTTGTGATTTTCTTGTGTTTACTTTTATACCTTGTGCAATCTGTCTTGTTATTGGTAAATTGATAACAATCTGATTTATGTTGAAATTAAGAGTCTGTAGCTATTGCCAGGCAGATTATAAATTGAAATGTGGGCACGAGGTGCTGTGAGTAAATGAGAATTTTTGGCACGTGAATTATCCCTGCAGTTGTGATATGAAATGTGGGCACGAGGTGTTGTGATGAAATGATGATGATAATTGGCACGTGAATTGTCCGTGCAATTGTGATATGATTTAATTATGGGCACGAGGTGCCGTGAAAATATGAAAATGGGCTGAGACCCGTGTTTATGAAAAATATAAAAATGGGCTGAGACCTATATTTTTTATGATTATGAAATGAGGTATCACATGGTGACTTTTTAATTGAAAGAATTATATTCAAAATATTTATTTGGAAGAATTTTTATTCAAAAAGAATTATATGAAAGAATTGTATTTGAAAGATAATTATTTGAGGACATTATATTTGAAAAGATTTATTGAAAGAATTGTATTTGAAAAATAATTATTTGAGAAAACTACATTTGAAAGAGAGTTATTTGGAAGAATTTTATGTGAAGGATATTTATTTGAAAAACTTGAATTAATTGGGCATACATGTATTATTAATTGTTGAGTGATGTTTATAGTATTCTTGTTGTCTTGCTGTGCATACTACTGGTTATTTAATCCTGCCCTTATTGATATCTGTTTCCTAGTATTTTGTATATTATATTGCACAGGTTATTAGACTAGTGAGTGTCTTGATTGTACCTCGTCTCTACTCCATTGAGGTTAGTTTTGATACTTACTAGGTACTGACCGTAGCGTACTTATACTACACTTCTGCACATTTTTGTGCAGAGCCAGGTGTTGAAGATAACGGACTTGAGCAGAGTTAAAGCGGGATCGTAAGGATTCAAGGTAGAGCTGATTGGTCGCCGCAGTCCCTTGGAGTCTTTTCATTTCATTGTATTGTTAACTTGTAATCAAACAATATTGTATATTCGGTACTCGTGATCTTTCTATGTATTCAGTTAGAGTTCGTGACTCAGTACTACCAGTCTTGGGAGGTTGTATATTGTAATTATTTCCATTATTAGTTTAAAAAAAATGGCTTCAAAAATGTAATAAAAATTGGCTTACCTAGTCTTAGAGACTAGGTGCCATCACGACTCCCGTGGTGGAATTTTGGGTTGTGACAATTTAACACACCTTTATGAACGTTATTCTTTCCGGTGACAAGCGGAATGACTGTGTTCGGTCTTCGGTCATTCCTGTCTTTGGTTCCACATGTCCTCTCTTTAGACGTCCACGTGTCATATCATATTTCACCCTATACAATTATGCCCTTGATATTTTAAATTCTCCCATTATGTAATACCTTTTATATTATATGCTATATAATATACTTTTACCCAGATATTTTATTTATAATTAAAATAACTTAATATTATTTTATTTATTATTTTTATAATATATTTGTACATTTATTTTTTTAATACTAATTTTCAAGATATATAAGTAGCATTATTACATTTAGCAGTAACGTTACCGTGAACAAATCTCAAGTCCACGTTCTTAATCATGTTTATGAAATATGTTTAATGAAAATTAAAAAATCAAAGTTCATTGATTTATCAACCACGCCATATCCATTAATCTAATAAATAAAATACCCACATTTAGCAAAATGAAACATCAGATTAATACTTTCAAATAAATAATATTAACATATAAAGATTTAAAAAACTTAATATTAAATACAAATATCTTTGAAACTTCTTTTAAAATTTTTATTGACTATTAAAAAACTATCATTTGTTAAACAAATATGTTTTTATTATTTTAAATAAATATTAAAAATTAAATATTATTTTTATCATTTTTATATTTAAAATATGTTCATGTCGGACAAGATTAAACAAATTGAGTGCCATGGAAAAATTAAATGTATGGATATATTATAATAATAATAAATAAAATAATTTAAAGTTATTTTAATTATAAGTAAAATACCTAGGTAAAAATATACTTATATAATATACAAGGACATAATAGACTTTTCAAGTAAAAGCATTATAAAATCTGGCTAAAGTGACTTTTGTGATAAATAGAGAAAAGTAAAATAATTTTTATGTAACAAAAGAAAGAAGACTTTTAAGTAATGGACACAAAGTTGAATAAATTTTACGTAACAAAAAGAAGAAGAAATGACTTTTGCGTAATGAACACAAAGTTCAATGACCACTTAGTATACAATTTACAATAAATTGAGCAAATTCATATTTTTCATGCTGTACTTAGGGATGTCAATAGGGCAGGGCGGGGCAGAGACGGGGCCTGCTCCGTTTAGCATTTTCGCAAATTTTTGTCCATGTCCCGCACTGTTCCGATTTTCCTTTATTTTTTATTTGTTAGTATTTTCTACTTCTCTAACCTCTATTTATTTTTGCTTTCAATACCTGAAAATTACATAAAATTATGATTTTATGAAAGTCAAAATCTGGAATTTTCTGTTTCAAATTTTTGGAATTCCTACCGGAGTTGTCTTAGAACATCTTCCACCTTTTGTTCTTGCTAATTTTTCACATGAAACTTTGATACCATAAGCCCCCCTCCCCATCTCCCAACCCACTTGTCAATAATGAAAAATGTACAGTTATGAAAATAAGAATGCATTTGAATGTTGAAAAGCTTAAAATTTTAAATTATTTAGTACAGAACATAGAAAAACTAATTATGACTTCCTTCCTAATAAAAATATTATTTTATTATGATTATTGTTAACATCATTTTCATTGTTATATTAAACTCTTTGCTTTTCTATTGTATTACTTCGAGAGTAAAATAACTTTTTATCACTAAAATGCAATAATTTAGTCCATTTTTCCCCCATAAGCTATCATCTATATATCACGTTTTTTTTTTATTTTTCAAGTATTGGTTTCTACTGAGTTGGACACAAGTTAAGAGTGTAAATGCCTGCTTAAAGTCGAAGTTAGTAGCTCCATCACAAACATTAACCTCATTTCGCTAAGTTACAACCACTACTAGAAAAGTGCTAAATTTCGACCACAAATACCGACCGACATCAGTCGGAATTAAAAGAAAAGGGACTGATTTTCGATCGCTTTTAATTCGTCGGAAGAATAATGATCGCTAAGACTTTGCGACCGACTGCGGTCGAAATTTTCCGACCGATTTCGGTCAGTTAATTCATCCCTTGAAAAATAACAATTCCGACCGAATGCGGTCGGAATTATTTATACTTTTATTTATTTATTTTTTCAAATTATCGACCGACTGCGGTCGGAAATATAAAATATAAATTAATTTTAGTTTTACAAAACCGACCGAAGGCGGTCGGTAACTAAAATAATATTTAAATAAAAATAATTATTTCCGAACGACGGCGATCGGAAATTTCAATTCCTGCAGATTTGAAATTGAAATTTTCGACCGAAGTCGGTTGAAAATAAGAATTTCTGGGTTTTCTTTTATTAAACTTCCGATCGAATGCGGTTGGTTTTCTGGGTAAAAACCAGGCATAAAATTCCTGCTTTTAAGTTACACTACCTACCAATCACAACTAATATTCATCCTATAATGGCAGCATTACACTGCTGCCAGTCAACAATAATTAACCAACAACAACAATTAATCAACAACAACGTCAACCATAATAACTATACAAATGTTCAATAACAAAATAATATCAACAATACAATCAACATTCAAAACTATTTCCAACAAAATATTCACTAGTTCAAAAATGTGTTTAGCAATACACACCAGTCAATGAGTGTTTTGTATTGTATCATGTTCATCTTCACTACTAGAAGCTTCCTCGTTGACATGGTTCGAAGGATCACGACGAGAAGTATTAGCATTTGGGGAAGGCCAACGAGACCGGAGAATGGAAAAAGCACCACTAGCAAGAAGATTGGTCAGCTGACCTTGAAGGAGATTAAATTGTTGGTCCCTCTTTTCTAACTGAACTTGAAGAGTATCAAATTGTTCATCTCTCTTTTGTTCTCTAGCTTTTGTCTGTTCAACCTCTGCTGTCAGCTTTGCGATCTTCTTCTCCATAGACGAGAGTGTCAACCTATAAATTATCTCGCCTTGAGCAAAAGTCCTTATACCTTGCAATCCAGCCCTGTAGTACCGAAATGATCTCTCTGGAAGGCCGTATGCTATCCCTTTTTTAAGACCACCGACAACATCCAACCATATCTTTTGTGCTTCTTCATCGGAAACGGGTGGTCGCTCGCCTTGCTCATTCGGTGGCAAGCTTTGAGTGTACTCCTCCACATTAATCTTGTAACGACCCTTTATTTAGAAGGTAGAAAATTATTAACTATATAGTATTATAAACATTAATTTCAAGTTATGAAACTTACATATATAGTCTCCCCTCGATCCTCGACCCATCTACTTGGATCTGTCGGTGTCTTCTTTTTTCGGATGTGAGTCTCCATGAAGAACTTATCATGAGTCATCTTCCTTCCATATTTTTTTTCCTACAAAAAATATATTAACTAAATTAAAATATATGTGCGCGCGTGTGTTTGACCATTTTGACCAATAATACCAACCGATTTCTGTCGGTAACTTATTTTAAAATAAAATGTGATTTGTTTAACTGATATATATATATATATATATATATATAATTATATCATAAATAATTATTTATTATAAAAACAAAATAATTTACGTAGGGCGAAAAAAAATAAATTAAGAAATCCGACCGACATCGGTCGGTATCATATATTTTTTTAATTAAATATTATTTTTTAATATATTATGCAAGTTTGACCAGTCTTTGGTCAAAGATTGACCCATTTCCGACCGAAGGCGGTCGGAAAATGTATAATTATATTATAAATAATTATTTATTATAAAAAAAATAATTTATGTAGGGCGGAAAAAATTAAATTAAGAAATCCTAATAACGACCGATATCGATCGATAACTTATTTAAAAACAAAATGTGTAGTGCTATAAGATAGTGTTATATTAAAACATNTATATATATATATATATATATATATATATTTCAGACCGACATCGGTCAGAAATTGAAAAAAATTAAATTAAAAAATTCGACCGACATTGGTTGGTATCATATATTTCTTTTAATTAAACATTGTATTTTAATATATTACGGAAATTTGATCGGTCTTTGGTCAAAGATTGACCCTTTTCCGACAGCGATCGAAAAATTTAATATTTTTTTGTGGGACCAAAAAAACCTCAGTCGGTATTCATTTTTATAATTAATTATTTAATTATTTAGACGATTTTGCTTTGTTTCAGACCGCTTTCGATTACTATTTCGTTCAGACCAAAATCGGTCGATATTCCTCAGTCGAAATGTGCCAGTTTTCTAGTAGTGAACCTACAGCAGACACTTCGGACTTCATCTCAGTGACCCATCCCTGCCCTGCCTCATTAACATTTTAAAAAAACTGAATGTAGACCCGCCCCGTTTAAGCATCGCCCTACGTACCCTGCCCGCCATTCCTAGCGGTACTGGATAAATCAAGTTCAATCAAACATATGGCATTACTAACACGTACGAGTAAACAAAATCTTAAATATAAGGAAAAAAGATGCCCATTAATTACTAGTACTCCATCTTCACTACAAAGAGAAGGCCAAAATGTAACCAAAAGAAACCAACTACAGACATGTTATAGCAAGTTCAAGGTTTGGGGATCTTTTCAACCTGTAAAACATAACAAGGACGTCCACGTCCACGTCCATAGCCTTGAATCAACTTGAAGCGACAAGTTTCACCATTGGCGGCTATCTTGTTTTGTGTTCGGAAGGCAGCCCATCCTCCTTTTATGAGAACCCTTGGGCCGATATGCTCTATATTCACTTTCCACTTCTTCCCTTCTCCATTAATCAATGTTATTTTCTTCATGTTAATAATGCCAGTCCATCTTGCGAAGGTCATTGGGATAGTCTAAACATAATCATCAAATCAGTGGAAGTAAAGGCATAACATCTAGTACTAGTACCATTTTTTGTTCCTTTTCTCTTTTTTAAGTTTCATTTCTTTATAAGGGGGAGGACTGCGAAAATAATGTAATAAAAGACAGAGTTGTTCGACCTTACCACAAAAAGCGAGTGTGTCTTTCTTACAGCCATTTCATAGTATGGATTTTTATTTTTCAAGTTCACCACACTGTATCTAAGTGTTTTTCGACCATTTCCTTTACTTCCACTGTGAGCTTCCTCCTCTGCAACACCTGTCTTTCTAACCTGAGTTTAGTTTTTACAACATTCTCATGCATTTATATATAGATCAATCAATAAATCAAATCCAACTGCGTCTCAANTGTATTTTTTAGTGTGCACGGCGTATTTTAGCACTGTAATGCTAACTCAAACCATAAACTACAAATAACAGATAACAGACTGAGAGGGTAAATATTGGCCGTTGGATCAAAGAAAGGGGAAATGTTTTTGAAAAATGGAGAAATGGGTTTTGTAGTTAATTAACTGTTTAACTAAAATGAATCAAATTTATTGAGATTGTAATGAATCAAAAGGCGAAAAGATTGATTTTTAAAAGAAAAAAGCAAACTTTTTTTTCTTCTTTTTGAGAGGAAAAAAGGTGGAAAGGAGAACTTAAATCCAATTAGTCAATATGACCTATATATATGAGTCGTGTGTTTTCTTGTGGTCAGCTCGTAAATAAATCTGCATCTACAGACAAACTGAAAACAAATAAATATACCCCAAACGCATAAACAGATCAATATTACCTGCCGATTCTCTTGGCTCCCTTTTAACTTTCTTAGATTTTCTTGACAGTCCGATTCCCATGTCAAGTTCCTCTTCCGAGGAACTGCTGAGTTCCTCAAATAGATGTCTCCCGCAAAGGTTTTTACAACTTTTCTGGCCGTAGGGAAGTACATGGAACGTTGATTTATCAACTAGAAAAAAGAGCAAAATGTCCCCTAGCTCTAGTTTGTGATGCGCTACAAACTTTGGCCACTCTCCTGCACATATGAAGTAATAGGAATCCTCCCTCACTATCTTTGCTTCCCACGACATCCCTGCTGCTATGTCCGTTTTCAGTAAGCAAGTCTTGGCCAACTTCTTCGTGTTTTCTTTGATAAAAACAGGCGGCATTATCTGACAAATAAATCATCGAGTTTAGTAAAACTTAGATTGGAGGAAAAAGTAGACCTCGACATAGTAGAAGAGAGAGAAAATAAAAAACTGGAAATTAATAATAGGCTTACTATTTTATCCATGAAACCTTCTCTAAATAATAACTTGCAAAACGATGGGTACTTGTCGGGATCCACAAGCATTTTGAGACTTGAGATTATAGTAAGAAACGGGGAGAATGGATCACAGGGAGAAGAGGGCGGAAATGACTAAAAATTTTGCTTTTCGAACAGGAAAAAAGGTAGCTACAAGTTGGATGTCATGGGAAATGATGGGAGAAGAAATTGCTGCGCTAGTGCAATCTTATAAATGATGGCTCACTGCTATTATTAGTGCTTTGAACAATGGCACAATGCTACCATTTACTGCGGTCTGCACATTATTAATTACTAGGAGTACCAGTACTTTCCACTCTCATCAACAAAAACAAATAAATAAATGAAGTGCATAATTTGTCATGATAGTCATACTAATTGATGCATATTTTTAATAGATTTGAAAAAATAATTTGAAATGAGTGTCACGACCCAAAATTCAACTAGTGGTGATTACACCTAACCTCACCCGCTAGGTAAGCCAAATAACAACAATCCGATTCAAAAGAGATTTAACTGAGAAATTAAAGATAATATATCTAACTCTAATACACTCTCTAAGGACTGGTAGTAAAATCGAGATAGAGGTAAGGTCTGCGTATACACTACCGTCCCCAGACCCCACTTGTAGAATTTTACTGGGTCGTTGTTGTTGTTGGTATCAAATAAAATACATCATTTGTTTGAAATATACATGAACAAATTAATAATTCTAAAGCTACCGGGAACAAGAAGCATCTATGACCGGATCACATGTACATCTTTAATGCCAACATCAACATCTGAAGTCTGCACGCAAGGTGCATAAGTGTAGTATGAGTACAACCGACCGCATGTACTAAATAAGTAACAAACTAACCTTAGGTTGAAGTAGTGACGAGCTTGGACAACAGTCAGAGTCCAACATCAATAGTCAGAAAAACAACTCAGAACAATATAATTAAAACAATCCAAGTAATAACTCAAGATGATGCTCTCCTCGTTAAAATTCTGGAAAAATGGGCATGTTTTTCAAAGATGACAGTAAAACTCAATTCTTTTCACCAAATCACCAAAATATGAGTGAATTTGAAAATTATTATTTTTCCCAAAAACTTTCTTCCACAATAAGAAATTTCATTATCAAATGGCATGAGGAAAGTACATCTCTATACCTACATGTCAATGTGCATGCCAATGCAATGCAACATAGTGATAAAATCATATGCGTGCTCTTTGACTAAAAATTTCACTCAGCACACTTAGTCATTCAGTCCTCCTAATCACTCAGTCCTCCCAATCACTCATTCCTCACAATCACTCATTCCTCACAGTCACTTATTTCTCACAGTCACTCAATCCTCTAAATGACTCGGCACTCGCACTCAGTATTTACATGCGCTCACTGTGGGTGAACAAACTCCGGAGGGAAGATCCAACCCAAGCGCTATAGTAAGCCAATCATAGAATGAATCAATAAAACATGTTGCGGCGTGCAACCCTATCCCATAAATATCCTCACAATCAGGCCCTCGGTCTCACTCGGTCATCAATCTCTCGAGCTAAAACAATGTCATGAAAATTAGCCCAAAAATGATGATATAATGTATAAATGAATAGCAACAGAGACTGAGATATGATATGAAATTAATGAACATGACTGAGTATGTAATTACAATTTAAACATATAACCCAACAACATAAATGATCTCAGTGGGTCCCAATAATACCAGCATATGCCTAAGCATGATTTCCAACACGAGTCACAGCTCAATTTCTCTAACACATAGCACATACATGGAAAAATAACAAATCGTTTGACTACACACTTTCACGGAATCAATTGAGTCATAATTTCTACGGTGCACGCCCATACGCCCGTCACCTAACATGTGCGTCACCTCCACACCAATCACATAACACGTATATTCAGGGGTTCATACCCTCAGTTCCAAGTTTAGAAGTGTTACTTACCTCGAACAAGCCGAATCTAATACCAAGCAAGCTAAACAATGCTCCATAAATTCTATTCTGCGCGTATCAACCTCCGAACTGCTCAAAACTAGCCAAAAGCGACTCAATTACATCTATTAAGGCCTAAGGAAACACTTTCAAAAGTCAACGTGGGGCCCACATCTCGGAATCTGAAAAAAGTTACAAAATCTGAACATCCATTCAACCAAGTCCAACTATACCAAATTTATCAAATTCCAATCACAATTCGACTTTAAAATCCTTAATTTAAAGTCTAAAAGATTTCTGCCATTTTCAACCCAAAACACCAATTTAATGATAAAAACGATAATATATTCATGCAATTTAATCAAAACCGAGTTTAGAACACATACCCCAGTCCATATGGTAAAAATTGCCTCAAACATTGCTTCAATCCGAGCTAAATAGCTCCAAATATGTTAAAACGGCCGAAACCCCCAAAATTTGATATTTTAATGTGCTGCTAGGGGTCTCTCTTGGCGATCGTGGTCCACAACATCGCGATCGTGATTCAAAAAAATTTCTGTTCAATTTTTACCCTTCGTGATCGCGAAAATCCCTTCGCGATCGCGATGAACAAATTCCAACAAGTTTGCCTAACTCTTTGAGACAACCTCTAGTATAATAGTCATAATTTTTTGTAGAGAACTCCAAATGATAAATGGTTTAATTTTCTGAAAACTAGACATCAAGGGATACAACTTTCACTTTAGGATCATCTCCAAATCCATTATAAGATTGCAAGATATAAGCTTCCAAAGTCAGCCCTGTGTAATAGAAATTTCTTCTTCAGGAAGGAGAATCTGTCTCCGCGAACGCAATTCACAAGCCCATTTTTTCCATTTTGCTTTTCGCGAACGCGATCCAATGCCGTGATCGCGATGCACATTGTTGTAGCGAAAAACCAGCAATTAAAAATGGCCTAGAAATGGTCTGAAATCACCTCGAAACTCATCCGAGCCACTCGAGACCCCGTCCGAATATACCAACAAGTCTCAAAACACAATACAGACTTATAGCCTGTTTGGCTAAGCTTCTTTTGAGGCAAAAATACTTATTTTTTTGTCAAAAGTGTTTTTTCTTTTTTAAAAAAATTAAGGTGTTTGGCCAAGCTTTTGAAAGGAAAAAAAAGGTGCTTTTGAGGAGAAGTAGAAGTAGAAAAAAATAGCTTATCTCCAAAAGCACTTTTTTGAAAAGCACTTTTAAGAAAAATACATTTAGAAGCAGATTTTTAAAGATTGGCCAAACACTAATTGATGCTCAGAAGTGCTTTTCAAATTAATTAGCCAAATACAAAATTGCTTCTCACCAAAAGTACTTTTGAGAAAAGCACTTCTCAAAATAAGCTGAGTTTTGCAGCTTGGCCAAACGGGCTATTACTCGAGGCCAGAAATCACACATAACAACATCAAAACGACGAATCACATCACAATTCAAACTTGGCAAATTTTTGATCTTTCGATTTTCAAAACTTGTGCTGAACCATATCAATTCAATTCGGAATGAACTCAAATTTTGCGTACAAGAAGCTATTGAAATTTTCGGAACCACAATCCGAACCCGATATCATCAAAGTCAACTCTCGGTCAAACTTATGAACATTCCAAACCTTCAAATTTTTAACTTTCGCCAATTAGTGCCGAAATCTTCTAAAAATATCCAAATGCAAATTCGGGCATACGCATGAGTCCAAAATTACCATCTGGACCTAACAGAATCATCAAAGCTCCGATCCAAGCTCGAATACTAAAAAGTTAAAATTGGTCAACTCTTCCAACTTAAAACCTAAATCATAAAATTCATTCTTCCAAACAAATTATGTAACACCCGAAAACCTAAACTGACGTTTCACACACGTCATAATATATCATATGAAGCTACTCAAGACTTCAAATAGTTGAACGAAATGCAAATGCTCAAAACGACCGGTTGAGTCGTTACATATGGGTATAACAGGAAACAAGAAATTATCTTCTCTTGATATACTAAAAGTGATAAGTAAAAGTGAAAATCTAATTTTAAAGTATTGAACAAGTAAAAGTGAACGAAGGAAATAATTAATAAAAAATGGATAACTTGCAGAGGAATACTATGTACGTAGTTCGGGAGATCATTCTTTAGATTTGTATGTTTTTCATGTATATATACAAGTTGAAAAAAGATATGGTTCGAATTTAGAATAATAATCCGAATTTTTATGGATGTGATTGGACGGATGGAATCCCTGCTCGAATTCAAGTTTCGGAGACAATTATATCTCTCGTAGGAATTGTTTCCTCCTTCCGGGGGGTTTTAAATGTCAAAGCGAATCTGAATTAGTTTAATATTTCAAAACCAAATGATTATATTTAAAAACAAATATCATATTTTATGCTAACATTTAATCAATTTAACTTTTATTAATGAAAATAAAATCAGCCAATCACCATATTGAAAAGTCCGCAGCTCAAATTATTCTACTTGGAAGTAGAAGTGACATAAACCGTGTATAGTAAGGACTAGATGACGTACCTGTGCGATGCACAGCCCAATTGTTGCTTTTTTTTTTTTTTTTTCCTTTTAATATTTTTTTTGGTGTATTGCTAATTACACACTTTATTCGTCTTCAGGGAAAGAAAAAAATATAGGTATTTGCATAATAATGTATAGAACCACATTACCTGTATTATTTTTTAAAATTTTTTGCGTTGTGTGTATTTTAATTTTTCTTNCGTTGTGTGTATTTTAATTTTTCTGAAATCGTATTACTATACCAATCACTTTGTAATACTTGTTGAAGTCTGACACTTTATTTTACAAAGATTATACAATACTTCAAGTGCAATGTAGAGTATTTCTACAAAGGTTCTACATATTTTTATTTTAAAAAAAAAATTTTGCACCACCAAACTTAAAATTGATTATAAAAAATTGATTGAAAATTCAATTGAAAAATAAGTCACGATGTATTTTCTCATTGTTTAAATTGAATATATATAATTTTACTCTCTTAGTATTTTCAATTGTGTTAATGTATTATTTTTTCTTTTTATATTAATAAAAATTTGAATAATAAAACATATTCATTTTATTTCCAAATAGTTGACGAAAAAGATTTTTTTTGTTCTTTGAAAAATTAATTGTAATTTTTAATTATTCGGATTTTTTTACCAGAAAATTTGTATGTTATTCTAGTTTAATGACATATCTGAATAATTTATTAAAAA